GGTCTGGCAGCATCTGTGAAGAGAAATCAGAGTTAACGTTTCGGGTCCAGTGACCCTTCCTCAGACCTGCTGAGCTTTTCCAATAATTTCTGTTTTTCTTTCTGATTTGCCGCATCTGCAGTTCTTTCAGTTTTTATTTAATTTTGCGGTATTGTGAATACAGAGGTAGAGAGACTGGTTTGGTTCAGCTTTCTGTCTCCGTGTCATAACAAATATCTTTGAACCACAAATAAACAAGAGTGGCCCATTCACTGTGTCAGCATGTTTTGTTGAAAACATTTTCTCTGCCAGATCTATTACACTAAAGTGATACTGTCAAATTTTGGGCACCGTTGGACTGGGAACTGGATTGAGATTATTCATGGTCATTGGGGTTTAGTTGTTGGTTGTGGCAAAGTATTGGTTACTTCAATCACCATTGGCATTATGTTGAATGTCAGAGGGTGCTACATAACACTCTTTGTCTTTTGCTCTGGGCCACATTTAGAGTCTTAGACTCTTCAAGTTTCTACAGCGTGGAAGGAGGCCCTTTGGCCCATCATGTTCATGCCGGTCATCAAGCATCTACATATTTTAATCCCATTTTCCAGCACTTGTCTTGTAGCTTTGCATGCTATGGTGTTTCAAGTGTTCACCTTACCACTTCTTAAAATGCCTTGAAGATTACCACCTCTACCATCCTTTTAGGCAATGTGTTCCAGATACCAACAGCCCTCTCGTAAAAAAAAAAGTCACCATCTACTCCACTTTCTCCTCCCCTCTCCTTTTTTTGTACAGTATTTACCCCTCACTTTTCCAGCACCCCTCAAGTTCCAAGGAAGCGTCATATTGGACTTGAAACGTTAAATCTGTTTCTCTCTCCACAGTGTGATGATACCATGGCTTTAGGAGATTATTTTGTCGTGGATTTTTTTGAAGTGAGGTTTTAAGGCAGAGGTGCCGACCCATCTACCAGACCCACTAGAGTAAACAGCTTGTGAGGCCTTGGATTTTTTTTAAAGTTGGAACAATAGAAGCAGCCTGAATGAGTGTGGTCAAGCTCCCACAAATTGAAAACTTTTAGTTTTCATTTTCAGCAATTGTTGCTGGTGTCACAGCTGGGTTGGAAGCTGCTACACTCTCTCAGAATTTTCTCGATGTTTTTTCCCTCCTGGACTACTGGAGTTGCACGTGAAACAATCTGTTTTCTGAATTTGCCTTTTGCCAAGGGTGTATTTATGTGATGTTACTATCTTGGAACAGTTAATTGGTAACAGTTACTGTATATATTATTCTGTTAAGTTTTCAATAGAGTTAAGTTATTCCAATTTCTCTTTCTTTTGTTGTATTTTAACAATAGTGGATGAATAAAGTGTGTTTTGCTTTAAATCTGGTAGTTTGACCAATCGAATTGCATCTGGAATGCAACACCTTACAGTTACCTTTAAAATAAGAAAAAGTTAGGGTCTAGGCTATCTTCTGAATATATTGAGGAGGTCTGGTCTGATCCATAACAACAGACGCTACCGGACCTGCAGAGTTTCTCCACCACTTTCTGTTTTCATTTGAGATCTTCAGCATTTGCAGTATTGTGATTTTATTCTCTTCTGCTTTTTGTGAACTGTTTGATTATTTTAAAATTTGTGGATTTTGAATACTCTATTGTCAATGTGACAAACTATTTGAGGGAGAAACTAAATATCTAATGTCATGCTCAAAAAAGGCTGGCCAAAGGCAAGGCTGGAAATGGTCACATGACAGCTAAGGATTTCTGGGTAGGGATACCTAAAGGCTGAGGTAGGGGCAGGGACCATCACCATGGAGCCCAGTGTTGCTCTAGACCTGGACACCCAACCCTGAGCAGAGTGGCCCCAAACCTAGCGGCCTGGCTATACTATTGATCGAACCCCTGTTCTGGGCCATGAGCTCTGGGCTGAGGTTAGGGCAAGTGCGGGATGAAGGAAAACTCTGCCAGTAAATGCTATCACTAACAATGTTTCTAATTTGCATTCTGAACAAGTACATGAGTGATTGCTTAATTGTCTATTGATTGAATTAACACAAAATCTCTAACATTTGGCAGGACAGAACCCTAAACGTCAGCCTTTCTGTTCCTATGATGCTGCTTAGCCTGCTGTGTTCATCCAGCTCTGCACCTTGTTGTCTCAGAATCAGAGAAAATGTTTCCCTTTCCTAGAACATGGGCTCACAGTCTCAACATAATGGACTGAGTGGGGAAGAATTGCTTAACTAAAAGGTTGTGAATCTTTTCATTTTTCCATCCCCAAGAGCCGTAACTTGGTAACTGTGAGCATTAAGACAGAGTTCAATAGAATTTCAGGAATTACAGGAATTACAGGATTTGGGGAAAGTGCAAGGAGGCGGAATTGAGGGAGAAGATCGTGTTGAATGCTGAACAGATTCAAACTGTTCAAATGGGCAACTCCATCTCTTATTTATTATATTAGTTTGTTCTTATATATCAAGCATAAAACAAGGATTGTATGTCATCTTGAAATACATTCTAAATTAGTGCAAAACTATAAGATATAAAAGCAGAAGTGGGCCATTTGGCCCATAAAATCTGCACTCTTCTCTTCAATTGCGTCATGGCTGATCTGATGATCCTCATTTACTGTTTTCCTCCCATAATCCACAATTCACATTCTGATTAAAAATTTATCTTAGACTTGAATATACTTAACGACTCAGCCCTTGCAGCTCTCTGTGATAATAAATTCCATGGATTTACTTCTCTCTGAGAGAAGAAATTCCTGCTCCACTCTTTCATAAATGGACAGCTGCTCATTCTGAATTTATTCCCTCTGGTCCTAGACTTTCCCACAAGGGGAAACAACCTCTCTGTATTTAGAGATAGTAAGAGCTGCTGATGCTGGAGTCTGAGAAAACACAGTGTGGAGCTGGAGGAACACAGCAGGCCAGGCAGCATCAG